AATTACAAACAAATAGGACTTGCTTAGTTATGTCTCAGAGTGACGAGCAGTAGCAGTGCGCCTCAAATTTTTGCAATTTAAAGCTTTGAGTGGCACTGCAATTGCTATGGACAGGCGTGTCGCTTACCACCAGGCGCACGACTTGTTCGTCCAGTCACTTGGAATCACAAAAAAAACAAAAATTATGTACTTCCAACATCATGAAACCAAAATGAACCTTTTCAAAGCGAGAACGAGGAGCATATTCTTGGAAAGCGAGTATCATCATCGACTACATAGATACTTGCCATAAGATTCGATTGTAAAATTTGATTGTAATTTAATTTATTTAGTGTCTGATTGAGTTTTTTTAATTTTTTTATTGTGGTGCATTGACTTGGTGTTCTATTTTATGACAGGCCACGGTAGATTATCAGCGAGGGGTACGTAATTATCATTTTATCATTTAACTGCCTCTGTGGCCGAACGGTTACCATGCCGGACTGCCACGCAGAGGTCCCAAGTTCGATTCCCGGGCCGGGAGAAATATTTGTATGACCTACATTTGTTTCTCTCGTGAGTTTGGGTGTAAATTGTGCTTGTCTATATGTGTGTGTCCATGGCACCCGCGACCCAGGGTTTCCCTAGTGCGGGGCTATGTTGAGTGTGTGTTATTATTAAAAATCCAAAGTATTATTAAAAAAAAATAGTCCTCTGTCATGGACTTTCGTGACATGCTGTTCTTTGCTTATTTGTTTTAAGTTTTTTTCATTATTATTATTTTCCTCTTTTTTCTATTATGATGTTTTTTATATTTATAAAGGAATTATTGAATATTTTATAATTTTTTTCTAATATATTTTGTATGCACATGTCAAATGAAGACGTTTTTATTTATTAAAAAAAATTGATATCAGAAATCTAATGATAGAAGAAACACTACAATCTTCATATTAGGGTTTAAAATTAGACGAATAGAATATAACAGAATCATTATTTTAATTTGTAGTAGCAGTAGAGCTTCTTGTGATAGAGTTCATCCAGTGAAGTACTGCCTACTTACCTATTTCTCTCACCAAGCAGTGTAGATAATGTGCGTAATATTACGTTACGGTTTTGCTGGAGAAATTACGTGTCAAGAGTGTGTCTGTTATATACATAAAAATATATAAAAGAGACGTCATGTGACTAATGTACAAGCGCAACTATGACCTTCGCGCTTTAATGAACAATCAAACCATCTCCAGTCACGATCAATATTAAGATCTTACATACATCAAGTAATTGCCTTTATTTATACTGTTTCTTTGTCATGGCTTTTTCTTTTTTTTTCATATTGTTCATCAATCTTTTTATTACTCTAATCATTGACTTACAAATAAATGGACGACGGGTCTAATACAAAAACCACGAAAAAAATGTCCCAAGTCAACTTATTTAAACGTAGTGACATGTAAAGGAATATGAAAAAGCTAAAACGTTGAATTTAAATTGTAATGTCATCGCAGTACTGTCTAATTTTGCTTACTTCGCTGTCAGTCGAACAAACGAAGACTAAAGCGTGAATGACGCTCTGTATACGATTTTAACGCCCTATAAGTTCGGACGGAGTCCATATAATTGTAAGTCAATGACTCTAATAGATTGTTTTTCTTTGTCTAATTGTTGCTTGTGTCTAATTTTATTTACTTAGTGCCTAATTGTCTACTATTATTAGACGTGTATGTGTGGTATTAAGCTATTTAAATTACTTATTTATTATTCAAATTGATTACTTGCTTCTTTAAGCAGCTTCTTTAATTTTAAGAAAATACTGTACGATACAATTAATTATATTATTATTATTATTAAATTACAGGCACATGGGACTTATCAATTTTATGTCTCAACATGACGGGCGCAGTGGTAATGGCTCTCATATCTTTGTGATTTATAGCTCTGCGTGATATTGTTACGGGAAGGCGAGTCGTTTACTACCACTTGATATTATAAAAAAGATAGCACGTCTGAAGAATACATGACAGTATCTCACATTTATGGGTGCTCTAAAATGTTTTGCTTCCCAAAACTAATGTGAAATTCTTCAATATAACGGACGCGCCCCTCTTTCATCGCAGACGGTACACTGTGTTGTAGTATAATGAATTGTGAATAGTAGAGCTTCTCGTTACGTCTCTCAGTCATTTTAACCATAATATCGAGTTTCTTAGGTTTTCGCTATTGTTATAGATAGGAAATGAATGTTTTTTAGGACCTAAAACACGTACCTACATTTGCTTTCCATACAAGCTAACATTTTTGGTTCTTTACAGGTTCCGTGTTCACGATGGTAAAGTCACCAACAAGTTATGTCAAATATTGACATTTTACAGTCGAGGAACAATCTGTACATATATATAAAACAAATAAAATATATTACAATTATAATCGTTAATCCGTTATACGTCTCACTGCTGAACAGGACCTTTCTATTGACAAGAGAATAGTTATGTGCTTGATTATTGTTAAGACGCTCCTGTAATGCATAAATTAAAACTCTTATGATTAATTTATTATTAATTTAGTTACAGTAGAGCTAATTGTGAAATAATTGGTCCAGGGAAGTACTACCTATTTTTACAGCCAAGTTTCGACGCGTTTCGGTTGTGAACGGTAAGGGTGCTGGTGAAATTACAGGCACATGGGACTTTTCAACATAAGTCCCAAGGCGACGGGCGCAGTGGCAGTGCCTCTCATATCTTTGAGATTTAAAACTCTAAGTGGCACTGCAACTGTTTTGGACTGGCGTGTCGCTTACCATCAGGCGCACGACTTGTACGTCCCATCACTTAGTGTAATAAGAAAAAAACTAATACGGTCAATTTCGCTTGGGACACTGGCTTTATTTCAGAATATATTTTTTTACAAAAGAAATTAAAATCGTTTGAAAAATGTATACCGTATACTATAAGTGGTCCACGTTTTTTCTTTCGTGAAAATTTTTAGGCATCGTGTTTTCACGTCATATGGAGCCTCAATTTTACTATATATTTTTTCCAAAATAATTGATGAACACTTTCACTGTTTTGCGGAATCAACCAAAGCCATTTAAGGTTGTGTCGACTTTTAAAAGTACACTCACACTCTCACACATTTCTACTACAAAACATTTAACACAATAATCACATATGTACGCAATAAATTAAATTACGCGACATAGATTTCGCATAAAACATAGAACATAATATATCAAAACTTTATAACACATTGCTTAACTGTTAACTCGCATAACCATGCGCGAATACATAATATTATAACAATGTGGGTGTGGATTTAACAAGCTACATTTCATTTTGAAAATATTTAAAGAAATATATCTAATCTAACCTTTTAGGCCAGACTAACGTTTTAGGCTCTTCAGAGGATTCATGGTTACTATTGCATTGTGTCTCACTGAGTGAGTCAGCTGGGACTGGGGCCTTACTATGAACTCTTAATACAGTTCAGTATAGGTTCTTAACGACAATAAGCGGGATAGTGATATACACTTCATGTAGCGCTGTCTCACAACGATTCATTTTAAGTCTTTAACTGAATCGTAATAAGAGTTCATGGTAAGGCCCCTGTAAAAAGTCCAAAACGTTGGTTTGTTTGAAAAAAAAGCAAATATACTCGATGTAGATCCAAATGACAAAGATTTCATTTGTAATTTGTACATTATCTTTAATATAGTATATACATTGACTTATATATATCTTTAATATAGAAGAGCGGAGTCTCCTATCACAGGCGCTACTTTGATTAAAAGGGGACTTCTGTTAATATCATTGAATTCATAACTTAAACAGTTATGAATTCAATGATATTTACTGAACTGAGATTTACAATTAATATTGTTTTTTAGACTGTCCCCTCTCAATGGATAGGGAGGGCACAGGGAATACAATAATTAAATATAGCAATAGGGAGAGAGGCTAGTGGCTCACCCGAGACACGCTCACGCTCGAAGAACCGCAAGAAGTCAAGTATTCTGGAGTTCCGGATATACATATATATAGCATTGTCTTGACTTAAAGGACAACTCACGTGCCCCGCGCGTCTCCTCGCCACTAGGCCATTGAGAGGCCTATATTATTAATTTAATATGTGGCCCATATTTTTATTACATATTATAATTAAAAGTAATGTTACACAGACAAAATAAGATTAAAAGACTACATTCGGTAAGGCGCAATTCTTTTGTGTAAGCCAATTACAGGTATCCACATCACTGTATTAATAAAGAACGATTTTTTTAAAGGGAGAAGCATGTTCCACGCCTATGGCACAACCGGTCGAGGTCAGGGACTTAGGTTGTAAGGTATAATTAATAAAAAATATTATTTAGGATATTTATTTTTAATTTAATTCACATCTCTCGTGACTTCAAAGATAATTTTGAATGTTTTAAATAGGTGCTACTGTATTCCCTAGTAATGGCTCAATTGGCCGGGTTCAGGGACTCGGGTTGAAGATACGGTGGACGATACCTGCCTAATCAAAGAGCACCGCTTTCTGCTTTAATTTATTATTATTATTATGTTAGCACTATTCGAAGGACTATAATATCATGTACACAAAATTTAAACGTTAAAGTCAAGTTATATAAAAACAACTTCAAAAGTTTATGGAATTACATTAACATCGGTCAAAGGTAAGTGGGTAAAATCCAATAAACCAGATTCATCCCCTAACTTGCCACCCTTAGAGGTGGAATATTTTCTTCAAATTAGATTGGAACCATTACTGTACCCTCTTTCCAACAAAAAACGAATCACCAAAATCAGTTCACAACTGTCAAAGTAATCGTGTAATATACAAAAAAATACTGTAAAATTGAGAACTTAATCCTTTCATACACAAAATACAGTCGAAGCAGTAACTGGCGCCAACATTGCAGTATCTAAACATTACCCGTCTGCCTTTTGTAATATTACTTTACCTTTATATCTACCGCGCTCAAATACTTGCATAGTGTTTGTGATGGTCCATTCAATCCGTCCGTATAAGCCGAGGGCAGCGCTCGCGCCGTCAGTTGACCAAATCCACGGTGACAGTGCTTCCGACAATGACGAGCACGCGATAATATCAAACATTCTAACTTTGAATTATTGTTTGGCTTCTAGTGTCTATGTGTTAGTGCCATTCTTTTATAAATATTACTGTGATTTTATGTAGCATTTTTTTTCAAAGGTGAGTGAGTAATTTAATTATAAATCTATTTGTGAAGTGACTCTTTTTAATATGCTATGTGAAATTCTATGAACACTAGGCGACTCATCAAGCACAAAATGATGAAAGGAGAATTTATAAAGAATTTACGTATCAACCGTAGATAATATATTTAAAAAAAAGAACGAATTTCAAAAATTGTTTTACGAGATCCTTCACAGCAAAGAACTTCATTAAGTTTCCATTAGAATATCTTTCATCTAGTTTTCTGCCTTATTTTATCTTGCTTGTAGAAGAAAGAACTGATGACAGTTTTCAATTTAAAAAATCTTTACCACGTACGTTGCAAACAAACCTTATAAAATTCTGGTAACGTAATAGACTCTGTCAAAAGAATGAATGAAAGATATTCTTTATTGCACATTAAATTACACAGGCAACACAGAACAGTAACTTAGTATAAGAATAGTAAGTTAATGTACAACAGGATGCCTTATTGCTATGTTGCAATTTGAACAATCTTTTCAATTTGAACAAACTCAAATGATTATAAAGCAAATCTATAAATAAAATCTGAAAACGGCTTCTTCCTCGGGAATTGCATATTTTAAAAATAAAAAAAGACGGAAGTACGGTTTGTACATTTGTAAAAGGTTCTTAAACCAAGGTAAAGCTAATTGCATACACACGTTATCCGAATATAATAGAGTTAGCAAACGATTGTTACTAACGCGTAATACCGAGATGCAATGGTAAGAAAATTACCTCGTTATTTCGTAAAGAAGTTTTTAATAAATTCAAATTTACAGTGTACATCACCACTAATACATAGTATCCACGTATTTTAAAAGTAGCTTATTTGTTACCATCTTAAAAAGAAAAATTCGGATCGTCACGTCGTAGCAGTAGAGCTCTGAAAGAGTCCGTTCAGGACAGTACTGCCTTATTACCTATTTCTGCCGCCAAGCAGTAATGTACGCGTAACTGTATTTAGGTTTTAAAGGGTATGGTGAAATTACAGGCACATGGGATTTATCAATTTATGTCTCCGGGGGATGGGCGCAGTGGTAGTGCCCCTCAGATCTTTGCAATTTAAAGCTCTGAGTGGCACTGCAACTGTTATGGACAGGCGCGTAGCTTACCATCACGCGCAGGACTTGTTTGGCCTGTCACTTGATGTTATAAAAAAAAATGTTAATAGACATGTTTCACACCCTTTTCTCATTGGGCTAGACAGGTATCACGGCCTTCCATAGCTGCAATCCTAACAGTTTTCATAAACGCTCATTGATTACGGTTACAGTAAACCTGGCCTTTCTTTATGCGTCCTCAATTTAGTCACTGTAAGTTCGCCTTGACAAGTCCTTACCAACTTGTCCCCTCACACTCGCCTTATAAATTTGTTTCGTTAATTTTCTTTCATTCATTCTCTCTACATGTCCGAAGGACCTATGCAATCTTACCTCTATCTTTGTCATATATATAATGTATATATATATATATATAGTAATGTTTATTTTTTTGTTTATTTACTTTAAACAAACAATGTACAGACATACAAAAATAATCATTTATAAATTATAAAATAAGGCTAAGAAAATTGTACATTTCAAATTATGTAAGCCTCTGCAGCCGAACTAGGATTAAACCTGTATCTCAGCATGCAGCGCCTAACCCCAATGGTAACATAAACTTTAGCCAATCATAATTGGTGATCGAATTCGCACAACAAACAAATTAAACAATTTGAAAAAGTTTGAAATAAAAATAACTAAAATATTAAAAACATGGAAAATTTCTCAAAGAAATGAACACAAACCAAAAAATAGTTAATGCAAAAAGGTTAGCTGTGTGCATGAGTAAATGTGAGTATGCGTGTGAATGTGTGTGTGTGTGTGTGTGTGTGTGTGTATTTAAGGTAAGATATATATATATATACATATATAATATATAGTGTTTCGAATATGTATACTAACAACCGAAAGTGCTAAATGAGTCGCTACCATGGATTTTTGTCATCCTAGTATACAAAAGCTTTATAAAAATATTCACTATTAAATTTTTAGTTTTACGAATTAAAATTCCACATTGCTAGCATAAAATATTTTGTAAAACGTATGTAGCGTAGATGGAGTGTTCATTAGTAAATTATAAATAAGGTAACGAAATATTCGAATAGATTTCTAATAGATGGCGCTACGGCTAAAAAGTCGTTGAAAAGCCAAATACAAAGATACGACAACAAGCACATAGAAAGATTGGTGAGTTCCGCTACTTCGTTACGTGACTTAATTGGCATAGCGTCTGTCACGGTTTGCTAGAAGACATAGGTTCAAATCCGGCCGGATCGAAAGAATTTTTTCTAAGCGTTCGATCTTTGTATTAATAATTATAACAATGTAATAAAATCATTTCACAAAATAATTGAATATCAATTCAATAAAAAAATATATAAATAAGGTAATTAAATGAATAAAATAAATGAAATAAGTATTAGACGGTTGTTGACTTTACCATCTCAGTCAGTCCTGATCATGGGACCTGTAAAGGGCCCAAATCGTTTGGTTTGTTTGAAGAAAAAAAAACAAATATACGCGATGTGGGTCAGAAAAAAATAGATTGATCTTCAATATTATAAAGTGTGAATTTCGTATGAAATGAGCCTTCATTGCATGAATAAGTGACAATATAACTAAAAAAATAGTAACTGTGAGACAACAGACACTAGTTTGAGTCCAATCCGATGTAAGAAATTTTTCTTCGTGTTTATTTGATCTTTGAATCAACAAATAATAACAGAGAAGGATTTTTGCAAAAAATATATAAATATCATAGTAGTAAAAACATCGTTATACTTATTCAATAATATTTACATACGTAAACAAATTTGATTTTCATTTACTTTTTTCGAAATTATCTTTTTTTTTAATAATTACATGTTGGCACATTTCCTGTGACGCCATTATAAGAATGGTAAGAAAGTTTCTTGAAACATGTTTCTTAATAAATTAAAAAAAAAGTAACTTGCAGAGTTTTGTTGTTCATTGTAGTACCGGTCAATATCATGTAGAATGTTGATATAAAAAACTAACCTAACCTCCGGTTAAAAAAACCGACCTCAAAAGTCATTCATCCCCTAGTTTGCCACCCTTAGAGGTGGAATATTTTCTGGAAATTTAAATGGGACCATATCTGCGGCACCTTCTTTCCAACAAAACAAGAATCATCAAGATTGGTTCACAAACGGCGGAGTTATCGCGTAACATACATACAAAAAAACAGACGAATTGATAACCTCCTCCTTTTTTTGAAGTCGGTTAAAAAAAACAGGTTATTTAAACTGCCTCCGTGGCCGAACGGCTACCACGCCGGACTGCCACGCAGAGGTCCCAAGTTCGAATCCCAGGCTGGGAGACAGGGTTTCCCTAGTGCGGGGCTATGTTGACTGTGTGCGTTATTATATTATTATAAAGTTAAGTAGTATAAAATATCGAGTTCTTAGGTTTTCGCGATTGTTACACACAGGAAATGAAACAATTTTTACGGATTTAAATCGTGTATATTTGTTTTTTCAAACAAACCGACGTTTCGGGCCCTTTACAGGTCCCATTAAGACTAACTAATACGTTTAACAGTACTAATTAATATGTTTTAGTTTATTCTAATTTCTATTAACGATTAATAATAAATTAAACTTAATAAAAATTCATTCAATAAAATAATTTGTAAAACTTAATGTAGCGTTTTCTTTGTAAAATTAAAAATAAGGTATTTAATTAATAACTATTGTAACTATAGTGAAAAAATATTTAGGTTTGCATTAATATTAGACATAACTGGTTGAAGACTGTACCACCTCAGTCAACCGTGACCATGGTTTCGGTTTGTTTGGAAAAACAAATATACGCGATTTAAATACGGAAAAATAGTTTCATTTCCTAGTATAAAATAGTTTTGGCAATGATGGATATAATATACTCTACATAAGACAAATTTGAGTAAATTATTAAAAAAAACATCTCGTTAGTTTTCTCTGTCAAATTAGTTTTCTAATTTTACTGGCAATTTTTATTACTAGATATTGTAGAATATAATCGTGGAGTATTATTTTGTATTCGGGTGTAGTATCCTAAAATATTATTTAATATTTAAATACTATACTCGAACACTTAAATAATAAAAATTGCCACCGAAACTAGATAGAGAAAACTTATCTGAAAATTACCCAGATATAGTATTTTTTACTAAATTATTATACTTTATTTTCATATTGATCTGAAAATGTGACTCAAATAAAATGTGTGTAAGGAAAACTAAGGTCATGGATAATTTATTATGCAATATTAATGCATCTAAAGGCAAAACATGTAATTTAAATTGCCTAAGCTTTAATAAGAATAGCTTGAAATCTCCAATGTACGATTGCATCTTTTTGTTAACCTTTGAAATCCGATTAAATTGAGCCAGAAACGCTGACTGTGAATGACTCCTTCAGATATCTAGTGTGAATAGGGATAAACAACCAACAAAATGTATTGTAACATTTTTTTATTTTTTTATTTATTAAAAAAACCAACGGCGTTACATAACGTCGCTTTACTTTCTCAAACTTGTATCTTAAAGCTCAAAGTTACTGAAATGCAAAGAATGGATTGTATATATCTACTGAACTATCACTCTTTATAAGATACGAGTTTGAGAGAGTAAGGCATCGAAAGAAACATACAATATCATACGCTAAGAGTAAAGTTAGTAACAGGTTTCTCTCGTTTATATATCATTATATAATATTAAACAAAATGTTATCAGTAAGTAGGTACATTTAAAATTAGCAATGATAGACGAATAAGATAAACCTAGTTTTAGATGCCGAAATCACAAACGTAAATTGTCACTTGTAGTTGCAATGAGATGTTAATGTAAACAACTCGTCGTTACTCTAAAAAGTAACTATCAAAAAAGAGACCCTTTGCCCAATGCAACCACTGTCTTTCGTATCATCTCCAGAATGGTGATAAGAA